GCTGCTGTCTGGTGGATTGTGCCGCTGGACCTCTCCATGCTTCTCCGTTCACTACCTCCACTCCCAGGTATGGGACTTAACACCGAATTGGGCTAGGATAGTGCGGATGGGTTGGGGGAGCGAGCGATGGAGCGGCTTCCAGATGGGCAGGGGGAGCGAAGAGCGACAGGGCCAGGGCAGGCGTTCCAGAAGTTACCTCTGGGTCCACTGGTCGAAACTTCTCTCACTGGATCGGTAAATTTCACCATCTGGTTCTCCCGATCTAGTGTGAACCGGCAGAAACCCACCACTGGTGTAATCTTTCGCTTACCCAATCACTGCCTGAAAACAATAACACCTCTTGAGTTCTGTGATAAATGGTCTATCTTATCCAATTGATTATTTAATAGTAAACATAATGCCAGATATGTTTGTTAATACAAATCTCCATACCTAATAAATGTTTCAAATGAGAAAACAATTGAAAGGCAACATTTGACTTACTTCAGCTGCTTTGTCCTGAACAGTTTATTTTTCGTCTCTCTCTAAAGCATTATTTCTGAGAAGTAACAAAATATGTTGTTGCAATATTCTTGCTTTGGGACTCTGTACGCTCCCTATATCTTTAGGTTGTAGGGGACCTGGATGTCGAAGAAAAAACTGAAACTGAATTCAAATGAGGCAAAATCTACTATTACTGATTCTACAAGCTGAAGTTTGAAATTTTGAAGATGCCCTTGACCCTTTAAGCTAAGAATCAAGTTCTCTGACTGGTGTTCCACCTAAATTTGACACTGAATAGGTAAGTGTCAGTGTCAAATTTACCTGCCGTTTACTCATTTGAGTGTCCAGAAACTGAAATTGGTCCAGAAAGTAGCAGTGCTATAAGTACTATATTAGTCTTTTACTGAAGTAGCTGAACTGGTTACTAATTCCTTGTCCATTTCAAATTGCTGAGCAAACTGTGCAAAGGCAAGCATGAGAAAGACTTGTTACTTTCATAGAGTCAACCCTACACTTTAGGGCTCTTCTTTACAATGCATTAATGTGCTTCCCTACCATGCTTCAGAGACTGAATGTTGATATAAGTGCTGCTCCCACAGCCTATTTTTATCATGTCTCAGAAGCATAGCCAGTGAGGGTTGCTGACTTCATAAAGTGTAAATTAGGACAGGTTTACAATAGTAACTGAATTCCCTGAAATTCTTTCTCTTCCATTCTGTTTCACCTACCAGTGAAGAAAACTAATGGCTCAATTCTAATTAAATGGAAGAAAGGAAGATGTTCAGGCTGCCAGCTTTATTATTCTAGATTTAATATGTATTTGTTTATGAATATCTTGAGATATCAATGTCCTGGAAGATATGGGAGATCAAGAGATTAGTATACCTTTCATAGTAGTGAAATGCACGTTTTTTTTACTACCGGTTCTGTGGGTATGGCTTAGTGGGTGTGGCAGGGGAAGGATTGGCAGTTGGTCTTACCTGAACTGCTATTTTCGAAGTTGGGACAGGAGGCTCCAGTAGAGGTATTAACACGGCCAATTGGCCACGAGACTGGGATGAAGCTGAAGCCATGC